AAACACCAATCAGAAAGGATATATGCACCCCTATGTTCATAGCAGCACAATCTACAATAGCTAGAATCTGGAAACAGCCTAGGTGCCCGTCAGCAGATGATTGGATCCAAAAACCATGGTACATCTACACAATGGAATACTATGCTGCCATAAAAAAGAAGGAATTCTCATCATTTGCAGCAACCTGGAGAGAACTAGAGAACATCATGCTGAGTGAAATAAGCCAGTCAATGAAAGAGAAATACCACATGGCCTCACTCATTTATGGATATTAAAGAACATTAAAAACTGACAAACCAAAAGTCAGATATAAAGACAGTAAAGCAACAAGCAGACTGTAAAATTACAGCAGGGAGAGTGGGGAGATCTGGGGGAGATAAGAGATCAACCGAAGGACTTGTATACAGTACATGCATATAAGTACAACCAATGAACACAAAACTCTGGGGAGGGGGGGCAATATTAAAATATGTACACAGATAATAATTTAATTTTAAAAAATGGGAAAAAAAGGAAAAAAAAAACAAAAAACAAAACCACACTACCTTAAAATCAAGCAAATTATATTTATTGGTACAGATGGTGAAGTTGTAGGTAAATATAATAAATACTTATGAAAGCTTAATGTTTTATATTACACAAACATTAATTGAATTGCTATTATTTCCAAAAAATTATATGGCTCATATGAATATTTAGAGATTTTAAAATTAATGGGTAGGCAAAAAACAACACATTTATGCAACTATTTAATAAGAATGTTGTATGAAATCTCATTATTCTATATCTATTACAAAAATATGCTGATTCAGTATTATTGCTTAACCATTAATTTCTGTAAAAGTGGCTTGAGTACGTTTTTATCTTAATATTTATTTGGCATTCAGGACTTAAACTTACTATTACATTCCCAAGAGTACTGAAGCACAATGCCATGTGTAATAAATGATCATTACATACTAATTGAAAATATTGAAATGTAACCTGTTTGGCTTCTACGCCATTCTAATACACTCGTGCAACCAATATCTTGTATTAAATCCCATTCATCAGAAAAAATAAAAATTAAAAATTAAAAAATCATGCCTAGCACTGTAGTTCTTTTTTTAAGTACATTTTTATATTTTTTATTATTTTTAATAGATTTTTATTGATTTCAGAGAGGAAGGCAGAGGGGGAGAGAGATAGAAACATCAATGATGTGAGAGAATCACTCATCAGGCATGCCCCCAACTGGGGATCAAGCCCACAACCCTTAACCAGAATCAAACTGGGGACCATTCGGTCTGCAGGATGATACTCTATCCACTGAGCCAAACTGATTAGGGACCTTGCACTGTATTTCTATGTCACAGCACTAATATAGCTAAAAATAGCTGTAAAAAACTACTATTTATAAAGCCCTTAGTATGTTCTAGGAGACAAGATAACCAGTAACACTATCTTAGTTAATTCTATATTACCCTAAAAAGAAAGCATTATTAGATATATTTTACAGATTGAAAATGAGGTTTAGAAAAGTTAAGTATTTTTCCTTGCCCACACAGTTGTAAAAGAAAAAATTAATATTCATACTTGGATCTGTTTGCTTTACTAAAGTTAATCACTACAGCCTGTAATCTATATATATAAAAGCCTAATATGCAAATTGTCCCCTCGGGAGTTTGACCAAGAGACGGGGAGCTTGATTGCTCACTATGACGTGTGCTAACCACCAGGGGGTGACATGGAACGAAGGAAAGTCCCAACTGGCAGCCAGCAGCAGGAAGGCCAGATCAGCTCTGATCACTGGCCAGGCCTGGGGACCCTACCTGAGTACGATTTTTGGGCACCAGGCCTCTAGTATGTACATAAAGTATAACCTCAAATAAACAGGTTTTGATATCACAGTTAAACTTCACAACTGCTCTTCAGAAAACAGTACAAATAAAATTTTAAAACCCTGCCAGTCCACTTCAAGGCCAGTAAACACTGGATTATCTCATGTAACCAGTAAATAAAAATTGTAATCCCTTTTAGAAAGACCTGAGTGACCTCGTAAAGCCAAAAATGACATTAATCCTCAGTGAACCTCATAAGGCCAAATATGACTATATTACTCCCTTGCTTAAGTTCAATGACTCCCCATCGTCTGCAGGAGAAAGTCTAATCCACTATCAATCTGATCCCTTCCTGCCTTTCAGCCTCTAGAAATATTAAAATACGTTGTGGTACTGCTTTCACTTTATACACATACTAATCTGCTTAGGATGCTCAGTCCCAGTTCCTACACATTGTGTTTGTTGAGTTTCTATTTATCCTTTAAACCTTATTCAGATATTGCCTTCTATAAGTTTTTCCTGATCAAAAACAGCCCATAATCAATTTCAACATATACAAAATTTTTCTCATTGTATAATTTCTACTTCTTATATATAATCTTCTAAAATAGAGCATCACGTGTATTATTATACATTTTATTACAAAATTACTTATTTACTGTAAGCTTATTTTTAAAATATGTTTTTATTGATTTTATTTTTATTTTATTTTTAGAGAGGAAGGAAAAGGGAAATACAGAAACAATGATGGGAAACATTTATCAACCGCCTCCTGCACACACTTTACTGGGGATTGAGCCTGCAATCCAGGCATGTGCCCTGACTAGTAATCAAACCAGTGATTGCTTAGTGCAAGCATTTCAAACTTGACAGGACAATGGAAGGGGAAAAAAAAAAAAAAACAATGTACTCCCAACACCGATAACCCCAATATAAGTGACCACCAGAAAAAAAAAAAAAAGAGAATTAGGAAAGAGAAAAGAGAATAAAAATGATATTCACTATATTGGTTCAGTATAGAGGAGGTAGAAAGAGAATTAGTGGATAAAAAGAAAAAAATTTTAAAGAAAAAAAAATTAAAAAATAAGGTAAAAAAAATAGAATGAAGAAAAAATAATGCAAAAAATAAATAAATAAAAGATTAAAAAGTGAAGTGTCATTTATTTCAGCCAAGTTTTAATGCTCCATGGGGGCTGGTTTAATATCCCACTCTTCTGTTCCGTCTACCACTTCTCAGTTTCCTGTTAGGTAGTCAGCAGGTTGAAGTTCCAAGCGATCCACTGCTTTTCTGTCTCTGTCCATCTCCACAGTCTTGATTGCAAGCAGGCAGAACCAATCTGCCCGCTGTCAATTTTTATCTCTCAAGTACCTGTTTCTGACAGGGCTATAGATAGGGAGGGTACTGTACTGCTTTCTGAGCCTGAACATCTCTATTCAAATCAGTGCCTGAGGGCTCTTCACAGCTATTCAGATGTTTTGTGTTCTTTGTATTGCTCTGGGTATAGTCTGGGTGTGGGTGTATTAGCTGCCTTGAGGCTGCTTGGAAGGGCTGGCTCTTCAGGAGATACCTGGCTGCTTAGGTCCAGAGAAGTCAGGAATGTCCCAGCGCCAGACTCCCGGTCACTTCTCCCCGACCTACTCACCTCCACAGCCTCTCCCCAGATTCCACAGATCTGCACCTCCACCTGCACCTCGGCCACGAGTGCGTGTTTGTATTTGAAAGTCCTATGAGCTGAGTTTAGCGAATAAAAGCAAAGAGCAAAAAGGCAAAACAACTGGGCAAACGCTAGTTTCTCCCTCCCTGGCACCGTGGGGCTTGGGCGGTTCTTCAGGCCACCCCTCTGGGCCCAGCCTCTCGTGACTGTGGACTTAGATCTAGAACCCCCTGACACCAGCAGCCTTGTGGACTTTCTTTCCACAGCTGAATGTTACGCCTGGCCCCTCATGCAGGAGGCAACCAATTTCTCTCTCTCTCTCTTTCTCTCTCTCTCTCTGCCTCCCCCCTCCCTCCCTTCTTTCCTCTGTCCCTCTCTCTCCTCTCCCCACTGATTCTCCCTTCCACTCTTTTGGAAAATCAATGGAAAAAATATCCTTAGGTGAGGATTTTTTTAAAAGCCCTAGGCCAATCTTCCATTTTATTTCCACTTTTCTCATTCACCATCACACCTCTGAAGTTGGGCTAATATACCAACCAAAAAGAAAATGAAAAAATAAAAACATCCTTTTGAGAAGATGTTTCTTTTCAACTCTTATCTCCATACTCATTCTCTCCCTTAATAAGGACATATCTTTTTTCCCTTCTCCTCTTACAACTGCTTATTTAGCTAAAACATCAACTTTCATATTCTTTTACCCAAATAAAATGAGCCCCTAAATGAACATAGTAATAGGCACATGCCAAATTAAGGACTGTAATACTAGGAGTGCAGACTTGGATGAAAAGTACTAGTTTATTAAAAACTTAACCTAAGTTTATCTGAATTTCATCTTTTTCCTAGTTGAGCAAAAAGTCTTCTAAACCACCATTGGGAATTCAATCATGGCTTGGTAGTATAGATTACGTATATTGTACCTTCCATCACCAATATGTTTTCTTTTTCAAAATTAAATAACATCATTAAGAAGAAGCTTAAATTTAGGTCACTCTTCCACTCAAAACTATAAGTCTTCTCACAGAGAAGGCTAAAGTGGGAACTAAGCTTAAAGTTTGGTAAAACAAATGGACACATGAAAATATATAAAAACAATTAATTTTGGAGGAAACATTCAGAATGCATATAATTGGATAAATTAAAAAGTGAAGAATAAGAAAAGTTACAGCAACGGGAACAAGTTTAAGGGGTAATAACCTAATAACTTTGCCTGGCTGGTGTGGCTCAGTAGTTGAGCATTGACTTATGAACCAGGAGGTCACAGTTTAATTCCTGGTCAGGGCACATGCCCATGTTTTGGGCTCGATCCCCAGTAAGGGGCGTGCAGGAGAAGGCCAATCAATGATTCTCATCATTAATGCTTCTATTTTTCTCTCCTTCTCCCTTTCTCTCTGAAATCAATAAAAATATATTTTTTTAAAATATACCTAATAACTTTACTAAATATGTAATAGTTCCCAGAGGGAACCTAACCATGAAAAATTATATAAAAAACCAGGGTATAATCCTAATAAAATTTTTACTTTACCTTTCTAATTTTCTGTAGAGTGCACACAATACATTATACTTCTTCAAGAGTCTTGACATAGCATTATCAACTTTGGTACTGGTATCAATTTCTTTTAGTAAGTAAGAAAATTTATAGACACTAAAAAGGAAAGAATAGAAAAAAGTGAATTATAATTTTAAAAATTTATTTTATTTCATTTTCAAAGCATAGACATTTCAATTCAAAATATTATTAGCTCTATATCAAATCACTATGATATCCTTTGGAAGGAATTACTTTTTTTATTTTCCTAGAATTTGAAGAGAAAAATAATCTACTAGTCTTCAACCTACACCCTTATATCTATATATCTATGCCTACATCTATTTATCATTAAGAATATAGAAAAGGATAATAAAAGTCATATATATATACTTCTATTATCTACCTATATATTTTTAAAAGTTCATATTTATTTATCCAATTCCAACATAAACTCAATTATTTCATGTCATGCTTATAACTCTTCATTGGCAGTGAGAAAGCCTAGAATCCATCTATCTTTAATTTATTGACTCAATCTCCCTTGTATCTCCAAAGCTCCCCCTCATGGGTACTCTCCTCTCCTGTTCCAACCGACTTCCCATTCCTGGACCGCCCTCAAGGGGAGCCACCAGACCCATTCATACGCTATTCAGCAACTAAAGTTACAGGTTTCATTCCAAAAAATGGGCTGGAGACAGTTATCTTGAGAACTGGAAAAATATAAATTTCAGCTGTCAGCGAAGGACACAAAGCCCAAAAAGAAGGTTATTAAAAGTTCCTTTGCCAGAACCGGTTTGGCTCAGTGGATAGAGCCTCGGCCTGCAGACTGAAGGGTCCCAGGTTCGATTCCAGTCAAAGGCATGTACCTTGGCTGCGGGTACATCCCCGGTAGGGGGTGTGCAAGAGGCAGCTGGTGGATGTTTCTCTCTCATCGACGTTTCTAACTCTCTATCCCTCTTCCTTCCTCTCTGTACAAATCAATAAAATATTTAAAAAAAAAAAAAAAAAGTTCCTTTGATATAGAAGGGATTAGGGCAGCCATGACATACTATGTGGAAAATCCAATAAAGGGGGAGAGAAATGATATGGAGTAGATGACCAGATGGTTACTTAGAAAAGAGAGTGGACCAAATGTGTAGATACATCCAGGAAAAAAAGAAATCAACCTTAGAATAGCATGTATTCAAGAATCACTCAGTTTCAGTTTTAATGAGATATATGGCATTACCTTTCCATGGAGCACCATGAAAACTGTGAATTGTGAATACAAAGACTTTTTTTTCTAGGGTTAATTTATGTGACTGTCTATTCCTTCTGTGGCCCTCCCTTGAAGGAAAAAAGAGGCAGGGTAGACAGGCAGGCAGGCGGGCAGGCTGGCATAAAAAGCCATAATTAAGACACACAGATTTGTTGATAACTACATATTCTAGACCAATGATCCATGAGTAGATACTAGTCTGTGAAATGTTTGTTACCAGTCCACAATTAAACACAAGTACAGAAATCAAAAGTAAGCATGTTATGGCAATTTGACATTAATTTTATACCTGCTGAATCTTATAATAAAAAGTTTAGTCCTGTGTCTACTATGATTTTGTTTCATTTTTTATATACATTTTTAAAAAATATTGGAAATAAAAAACAACTAGTCCTTCACCAGAGCACATTTAAGATGTAATTGTCCAGATAACACTCCTGGACAGTTACCAGAACAGTGAAAGTTGCATAAGAAAAAAGTATACCAAATACATTACTATATTTATGACGTGCCCAAGTTATAAATCAGGTTGCTCTGTGAATACTCAAGAAAACGGGTTTAGGAAAAGCTTTGCAGGAAAATTACTTCTTTTTATAAGTAAAAGATGTAATAGCCTTTCTCTATCATATTTATTTAATAGTCTATGAATATAATACTGTATTGCAATTACTTGTTTACTTTTATCTTCCCCACTGAATTGAGTTTCTTGAGGTTGGAGATTATTTCTCACCTTTATATCATTAGAACCTGCATAATATTATATTATCTAATAGTTGTTCAAGTTTTCTTTCTTTCCTTTTTTTGGGGGGTGGGGGGTGGGGAACAGCAGGTAATGGGGAGGCAGGGCTACAGAAAAAGAGATTAAGACCCCTAACATGTTACAGGTATTGACTATGGACTACAGTAAACCCTCAATTTTGTAGACCTTGATTTAACACATTTTGGATTTAACAAACAAAATTTCTGGTCCATATGCTACATGTGAAAATTAACACTCTGGTTAATTTTAAAATGCTTTTAGCCAAGATGTGCTTATAATTAAATTAACATTTTAGCAAATAGGCAATATGTTGGGGAAAAAAAACACTGTGGTAATTCCACCAACATAAATCTATATTATAAAAGGCCAGTGGCTGTAAAGCTATAACAATCAAATGACCGGTCACCAGGTGGTGCATGGAGCACCTCTCAGTCCCTCCACGGGGCCCGAGAGCTGCTTGCGGTGGCAGGTTGGGGCTCACGGCTCACTCACAGAGGCAGCGGCAACCTCCTAGCGGGTCTGGGGTCCTGCAGATACAGCAGGTCTGGGTCTCGTGCACTTTTGCACACTGGGCCTCTAGTATTAGATATCTACAACTATAGTCTACATATTTAAATCCAAGTCAGGGCTTGTAAGCAATATTTGGGAATGATTAGCATGTGATCACACCACATCGTGTGCAGTAGTAATTGGTTCTATTGTCAAACGGTGTGACTTTCTGCAGCAGTTTTGACAAGTTAGGGCAATGTTCCTACATGCACTAAGCCAGGCCCAGCCTTGTGCCTTTGTTTATTCATGTGACTCATGAGTGCACGCATTTACTGAACCTCCTGAGTATAAATTTAAAATTAGTGATATATACAGAAAACTTTTCATACATACTTAATTTTAATTACACAAAACGTGTCTACGTAAGTAAAAATAGGTAAGCTAATTTGTCAATTTAACATATGCATTTGGAAAACCTACTTTATTATATAACGGATTTTGGGTCTTAACCCCTTGCCCAAGTTAGCCCATTATATCAAGTTTTTACATCTCTATTCATCATAAGTTACTTAATTCTTGAAATTCTCTAAAATAGCTAATAATTTTCACTTCATAGATGAGGAACTTGAGACTAAAGGCTCAGATGTCTGCTCCAACTAATATAGCTTAAAAAACAACAGAGCCCAGATTTATATCCAGTTTATGTTAATCCAAACATCCATATTATTTCTAATCTTCTAAAGCCGATAAATCATTTGCTGAATGGATAAATTAATGTGAAAATTTACTTACATATTTTTATTATTTTTCAGCTACATAAAAACTACTTTGATTTAGTACTTTTATTTAATAAAGTTAAACTGCAAGCTCTAAGAGGGAAACCAATTCTAATTCACTAGATCAGCTTTTTCAACCTTTTTCATCACACATAAACTAATTACTAAAATTCTGTGGCACACCAAAAAATATGTTTTTTGCTGATCTGACAAAAAAGTAGGTATAATTCATTCACTTTACTTGACAATTTAAGGCAAAGGAGGTCATGTATTATATGTTTTAAAAATTTTTGTGGTACACATTGAAAATCACTGCAATAGGTTAAATATGATTATACCAGGCCTATGTTTCCATATTTTATATAGAGGTAATAAGAAGAAGTATTACCTAGAAAAATGAAACAATTTAATGTATCTCATTTTAATAAAATACCAATTTTACTTAATTTTAGATGGCTTTATCCAAAAGCTACAATTAAGAAAGTTTAAAGACAGTGAGAGACATGATAATTTTGCCAGGACACAAACTGATACATTTTTAAGAGAGTGCAGCATACATACACTTTTACTAAGGGCTCCATGAGAGAATGATAGCTTACTAATTGACCTAAGTCCTTTATGTTTCATTTACTAATGTTTATTAAGAGGAAAGGTCAGATGTAATTTTATTTAATAATAGAGGTGATACTGTTGAAAATTTTTTACCTGGTTTCTATGTTTTTCTGCAGCTCAGTAAAAGTAAATGGCATGTCATCTAGGTCAACTGCTGCAATAAAAATACAGATGCCCCATAGTTCCTTTTTATTCTGAATATCACTTTCCTGAAAACAAACAAAAAGAAAACACAAATATTTACATTACAATTCATTAACCATAGCAAAATTTCAGTTATGAAGTAGCAACGAAAATAATTTCATGGTTGGAGGTCACCACAACATGAGGAATTGTATTAAGGGGTCATGACAGAGAACCACTGCCCTACACCAAGAGAAACAAAAGCAAAAATAAACAAATAGGACTATATCAAACAAAAACCTTTTGCACAACCAAGGAAACCTTCAACAAAAAAGAGACAAACTACTATATAGGAGAATACATTTGCAAATGATATCCTAGATATATAATAAAAGTGTCCTACCATTATGCTAAGTGTCCAACCACTCATTCGACCAGTCACTATGATGCACACTGACCACCAGGAGGCAGATGCTCCAACAAGTAGGTTAGCTTGCTGCTAGGGTCCAGCCTATCAGGACTGGGTAAGACAGGCTGGACATGCCCTGAAACCCTCCCCACAATCCCTCCCCAGCCAGCTGGCCCCGATCGGGACTAGGCGACACCCTGGAGCCCTCCTGCAGTCACTCCCAGGCCCCGATCGTGCACCAGTGGGGTCCCTTGGCCTGGCCTGAACCCTCTCGCAATCCGGGACCCCTCAGGGGATGTCGGAGAGCTGGTTCAGCCTGATCCTCGCAGGCCATGTCAAGAGATCCCAGTGGTGCACGAAACTGTGCACCTGGCCTCTAGCATCCAATAAGAGGTTGATTTTCAAAATATACAAAAAGTAAAAAATCCAATAGAAAAATGGGCAGAGAGCATTAAAAAAAAAAAACCTTCAATAAAGACACAGATGGCCAGAAGACACATGAAAATATGTTCAACATCACTAATTATCAAGGAAATGTAAACCAATACAATAGTGATATAGCACCTCACTTCAGTCAGAATGGTTATTACCAATAAATCAACAAGTAATATGTGTTGACAAGGACATGGAGAAAAAGGAACCATTGTGCACTGTTGGTGAGACTGTAAACCAGTACAGCCTCTACAGAATTCCTCAAAAACTAAAAATAGATATACCATATGACTCAACAATTCCTCTTCTGGTTAAATAGCCAAAGAAAGCAAGAACACTAATTTGAAAATATATATGCAGCCTTATGTACATAACAGATTATTTACAATAGGCAAGATATGGAAGCCACCTAGGTAATTTTAATATGTAAAACAATATTATACTACAATAAAAAATAATTAAAATCTTAACATTTTCGACAAAACAGATAAATCTAGAAGGTATTATGCTAAGTGAAGTAAGGCAGAAAAAGACAAATTACCATGTGGATTCACTTATATGTGGAATAAACAACAAAAAAACACATAGAAACAAAAACCAAAGAGATGTTTACCAGAAGGATGGGGACAGGGAGAATATGTGAAAAGAGAACGGGAAATATAGTCAATAATATTGTGATAATTTTACTCAGTGACAGATGATTACTAAAATTAGCAGGGTGATCACATTGTATAAAAAACTTGAATCTTAACACCTGAAACTAATAAATCAATATAATTTGTATATCAAAAATACATTTTTTAAAGTGTTATTTCAGAAAAATATCTCTATTTTTCTAAGGTGAATGACCTTTTCTGGTTTCATCCAAGAAGACTTCTATGTAGCATCTGACACTCTTACAGTAAGTTTTTTTCCTTAGATTTTAAAATTACTACAACGTCCCCATTCTCTTTCTTTCTCTCACAACTTTTTCAGTGTTTCCCAACTCCAAGGACTTTTGCCCACCACCTTTCTCTTTTCCTTAGCAACCTCACCCACTTCCATGGCATCCCCATCACCTCCATATAGATTATTCACACATCTCGTCCTGCTTTCCAGCCAGCCCTAATTGGTCTTTCAAGATCCAGGCTTTATTTTCTGATGGCAATTTAAGATCTAAAATCTTTAACTGGTGTGTTTTCTTGAAAATTTAAATGAGAATTATGAAAAGGGCTCAGAACAGCATCTTAAAAATGGTTGAAGTAGAGGGAAAGTAATTTTTTTTTTACCCAGAAAGAAATAGTAAAACATAGACGGGGAAAATGAGCAAAGGATAAGAAAAAGTATTTTACAATAGAAAAAAAAGTACTTTCAAAATACTAAACTTCAAAACAGTGCCAATGAAGGACATTTTGTTATATGCATCAATATCCTTAAGAGTTGAGTTTATATTAAAAAAAAAAACTTATAAAATGAAAATAGCAGAGTTGAGTCAAGATTTAGTATAACACATGTTCAAAGAATTACTCATAATAGCAAAACTGGAGAAATAGCCTAAATATTTTTAAATAAAATAGTTAGCCCGGCCAGTGGTGTTTAGTGGTTGAGCATCGATTAAGGAACCAAGGGGGTTACCAGTTTGATTCCTGGTCAGGGCATGCTGGGGTTGTGGGCTCGATTTCCAATAGGGGGAGTGCAGGAGGCTTTCGATTGATGATGTTCCTCACTCATCGATGTTTCTATCTTTCTATCCATCTCTCTTCCTCTCCCCATCAAAATCAATAACAACATATTTTAAAAAGTAAAACTAAAATAGCTTTATGAATTAAGATAGAACTATATCATGGTATAATATAAAATCCTTAAAACATTTAAAAGATTATTAAAACATGAAAAAACACCAATGATATCTTAGGATAAAACAACACCAGAATACAAAGTTCTGTGTTTGTTTTTATTTCAATTTTGTGAAAAATTTAAAAAGGGAAGGCAGAAAATATATCAAATGTTAATTATATCTAGATGGTAGAATTACAAATGATTTTAATTTTCTTCATTAATCTTAACTATATTTTCCAAATTACCTTCAATTACAAAATAGGAGGAAAAGTCAACTTTAAAAAGTACTAAATTTATATAAAGAGAGAAAAATAAGGAATACTCTTGAGAAAAATATTTAAAATATTTAAATTTTATTTAGATATAGCATTAAAAATTATACAAAAATCAATAATCAACATTTGAAGAGGCTACTTCTAAGCTATCATTTAATTTAGTTCACTTGAACTACCCTAATGATAAACCCTAATTAGTGAAAGCTTTTACTTGCTTTTCTACAGTGTACTAATTTATAAAAGAGCTCCACCAAGTGGTGACATAAATCATCTTGGAAACATCAGAAAAATTGGCATCAGAAAATCAGATTATCTTACTATTCACGCTATAAGTTAACTAGCATGAATTTAACTTGAAATTTTAAAAGTTAAAACCACTAGTCTCAATTATTCAAATTTTAAAATATTCGCCACCACCAAGATGAAAATAAGCCATTAGGAATATGTTCTCTATCTCAGCATCAAAAGGATATATCCTTACACTTGATTCATGAGTCTGTAATGAGTGATTAGAAATAAGGTTACAAGTTAAATATATTTCAGGAATGTATAAGAGGAATATAAGGGACAAAGGTGCCTTTCTCTTCTATTCCTGGAGTTCCTCCTCACTATATTTCTTTGTAGAAACGAAAGGGATAAAATGTTAATATGCCAGAAAACTCCCCTTTCATTTGAATAATATTAGCTGGCAGCAGTTCATGTTAAGGACATTCTTTGAGGTGCTCAGAAAAATTAAAAGGCAAGAGTAGCATAGCCAAGAAGAGGAATGCAAAAGCTAACCTTACTTGTACTCATCACATTTTTAATACAACATGCAGGGGTAAACACCAGCTGAATCAGCCATCCAGTTACACAAAGGCTTTGTGGGAGAGAGCTGACTCTACTACCAGAAAAATATGTAACTGGCAAGTTCAGATTTACCTAGCCTTTGGCCCAAGTCATGAGCACCTTGAACTTCCTCCCTTAACAACAATTACAGAACTCAGTGGATAGGCCTATCTAAGCAATTAACTCACTTTCTCATTTATCCACATCTCAATTAGACCATAAGCATCTTGTAGGCAGCAAAATTATATCTAATTCACTGCACTAAATTGATAATAAATGTATTGGGGGGGGGGCAGTTTTAAAAAACAGGCAGTAGTAATGCCGAAACTGGTTTGACTCAGAGGATAAAGCGTCAGTCTGCGGACTGAGGGGTCCCAGGTTCAATTCCGGTCAGGGGAATGTACATTGGTTGCGGGCACATCCCCAGTGGGGGGAGAGGGGGGCAGCTGGTCAAAGTTTCTCTCTCATCGATGTTTCTGGCTCTCTATTCCTCTCCCTTCCTCTCTGTAAAAAATCAATAAAATAAATATAATTTTTAAAAAGGCAATAGCAATGGTCATACGCCAATATAGGACGACAGAATGTCTCCACCCAACCACCCTTAAATATACTCAGAGAAATAAGCAGCATTGAATCAATCACCAGTACAAAATGTTGGCTAGCTCTCATTCACACATTGGTAACAAAATAGTGGTATCAGAAATAGTAACTCATATGAAGAAATTATCATTTCATTTTCTTAAGAGTTAATAAAAATTAATCTGGAACTTAGTTTCTAGTGAAACTCTCTGCTTAGTTGATGGAATAAAGGCCCAAAGATAATCCACCCAAGAAGATATAACCATATAGGAGAAAAAAACTGCCACCATACTCAAACAGCCTTTAACTAAATGGTTTATCTGTCAAAAAACTACAAACCTGATGTCTACTACTCTTAAAAACAAGGTGGAAAAACACTGAGGAGAGAGGTCAATTTCTACAGCTCATATTCAATTATGTGAATAAATGGTATCTTCTAAAATTTGCATGCTAACTCCTACAATTACCACACACTCTGCTTGAAAAAAAAGGAAATATCACCAATAAATGAGCTAACATTAAAACGAAAGAGTCCTGTGGTTTGGGAATTTCTAGGGTTCCAAGTCATAAAATGATAACCTTTGGCAAATTTTCCAATATTAAAAAAAAATTAATAAAACCCATATGTTTATTTTCAATAGAGCCCCTGCTTCAAAATAGCAATTGCTTTTCCTTTTTCCAGAATTCACCTCAACATGGTAACACAATTTATCTTTATGTTGATTAAAAACACTGGCTATCATCT